ATCACGATGAAGAAATTTGGACAGACAGACGGACAGACAGACGGACGGACAGACAGACAGACAGACAGACAGACAGATAGACAGACAGACAGACAGACAGACAGACAGACAGACAGACAGACAGACAGACAGACAGACAGACAGACAGACAGACAGACAGGCAGGCAGGCAGACAGACAGACAGACAGACAGACAGACAGACAGACAGATGCTAGAACTCAATCAATACGTAATCTGACCTGATAAGTCATTCTGCATTAGCAATGAATACAATTGAGCTGTTAGATAACTACCTCAGGACATTAAAGCAGATCAGGAACAAAATCAATACTATCTTTATGTTTTTACAACTTCCATTTCATAAAACTATCGTTTCTGAAAGTAGGCGACAATATCTATATTTCTCCTGACCTGCATGAAGGCCTCAAAGAGCTGTTCAAACTTCTCCTTGTACTGGTAGATGACCTCCGGCACTTTCTTCATCCAGCACTCCACGAAGGGGTCCAGACCGATGTAGGATGGCTCCAGGTACACCATGCCGCAGCGACTGACAGTGGCCGGAGACGCTACAGCCAGGTCAGCCACCTCAAACATCATGGTCATGTGCTGGAGAAATTATTATAATAATAATAATAATAATAATAATAATAATAGTAATAATAATAGTAATAATAATAGTAATAATAATAATAATCATAATAATAATTAAATAATAATAATAATAACAACAGTAATAGTAATAATTATAATAATAATAATAATAATAATAATAATAATAATAATAATAATAATGATAATAACAATAATGATAATAATAATAACAATAAAGACAATGATGATTTTTATAATGTGACATTTATATAGTGCTCTACCACAATTAAACGATCACAGAGTGTGAGCTCTTTACAAATACAGGTAGTTACAAATAGATAATACAATGTGTTATAACTAACATTCTCTTTATTTATTTATTGAATCTATTAACAAACAAAAATTACTTGAGCTGACTTTAAAATGAATTAAAAAATTTGATCAGGCTGAAGACGAAGAAATGAAGGTTAGCACATAGTAAATGTGCCGCCGCCGTAGTACACACGTCAGTCAGTTTGATGATCTCTCCACTGCTGAGGCAGAGTTTCTTGTTGTCGTCCAGCACAGTATTCATGTTTTCAATCCACACAGCATCCACCGGACCGTCAAAGACAAACCACCTTTTGTCCTCATCCTGGGATGATGCTCCCACACGGATCAGGGTGGACAAGATACCATCAGTCCTGCACGATAATAACCAAATTATAAGGATAAGTTTTGGTTCAGCTGAGAAATATGCATATTGTTGACCAGCTCTTCAGAAAAATTAAGCTTAAATTTTTAAAATTTTTACGCAGTTTCTTAATCTGTGGTGTAGGCCTATGTGCTCCAGAAATATTTTGTCAAAATTGAAAATCTAAATATTGAATAAAGCAAGAAAAGATGCATAATGTAGTTTTAATTTATTAAAAAAAAAAAAAATTTTCTCTCTCCTGAAAAATGTTGCTTCTGGACATTGTATATTTAAACAGCTTGCTGATAATATGTAATGGTGGCAATATAAGAGCTACTGACAATAAGGATATGAAGACCATTGAGCTGGAAAGAGACAGACAGACAGACGGGTAGAAACAATGGAAAAAAGATAAAAATAAGTCGGATTCAACTAGCAGTCCCCTCCAACTCAAAGGGTGATTTGTCTAAGACTGTCCTTTTTTTTCCTTTTTTTTTTCTTTAACAGGACGGATACCATTCACTAGAGATAATCAAAGCACAGATTTCTCTGTGCCTGTGCCTCATCAGCTTTTGCTGTATTTGTCCTGCTTTGTACTCAAGCACAAGGTTGATAAGTCGGGAACAGATACTACACTTTGATCTTAGCCAAAAGGCCAAGAAGCAATGTTTAAGACTGTCTATGATTCCAGCACAAAAACCAGGATGAGTATTAATGCTTAATGAGTGAATGATCTTCTTCCCCTTTCAGTGCCAGGTCTGAAACAAACATTGGCAATTACAGTTCGCCACTCATTTTTCTGCTTTGATTTTTTTTTAAATCTATTAAATTCTGACCTTTACCTATCACTGATATGTGCAGGGTTTTTTTATGATTTAAATATCTAAATGCTAAAAACAGCCTGAGGAGATCTAGTGCAGGCATCAAAAGAAGAACTAACTAATATCAAAATCAATCCTGCACATCATTTTCAACATTTCCCCCTCCTCCTCATCATCATCTTTATCATCCATTTCTAAACAATTTTCCTGAATTTATTATTTTTTTAAATGCATAACAATTACTACTACCTTGTTGACAGATTTTCTACATAACTTACAAACATTCAGCACAAAAACCTGACTTGGAACAATTCAAAAAAAAAAAAAAGACTAATGCTTACCACTCATGAGTGAGCAGATCAAATTCACCGTACAGCTGACCCATGGTGATGGACTTTGGGTTGAGCACGTAGGTGTGAGTGGCTTGGAAATCTGTCATGGCAGGGGAGGGTTGACCCTTGAGAGATGTCTGAGCTTTCTGCAGCATTTCATAACACTGAAGGAAGTAGGAGAGAAAAGGTATTAACATTCACACAGCATACACATATCAGACTTGTACACAAGCGTTTTGCAAATAACCAAGGGTTCTTAAGTCCCTTTGTGTCCTATAAGAGGTAGCCGTACGTCGTTCTTTTCTTATACAACGAAGGAGCTAAGATGCTGGTGTGACATACGGCGTTCTTCATGCTTTGCGAAGAGTTAGGACCATGATGACGAATGCCAATTGTCATAGGTTGTATCCTGCATACTTCTTCTATTAGACGCATTTCGTAAAACTAATCACAGATTCACACACAATGACATTTTTCCGCTCAAAGAAATCTTTTTCTTTTAGAGATATTTCATAGTATTTACAAACTGGGTCTAATTATAGGCAACTGACCACCAAATCTAAAGCTACTTTTTGTCCCTGGGGATCTCAAACTGTGCCCAGTGAAACATAAACGGACCCTGCGTCACCAAAGGGTTAAATTAGTCAGAATATTTAAATAACATTATTATACACAACAGTTCGAAGCTGAGTATTCCATTTAATGTATTATAGCATTTTTGATAAAGATATATAAAACAAACATGTGAGTAAAGAAGAGGAAGAAGGTGCACAAAAAGTTCAAAAGTAAACAAGAATTACCTTGGTTTTTCCAGAGCATGTTGGACCCACCAACATAAGGCCATGACGGACAACAGTAGTTTCAAACAGCTGGATACACTTGTTGATGAAACCTTCAACGAACAAAGAGAACAGATTTTCAGTTCATCATAAAAGTTCACATTAAATACAAGCATAGATACCCTTTCAACATGGATTTTAAAAAAAATCTACTTAACAAATAGGTACTGGAAAGATAAAATTTCGAACATTCCGTGAGGAAAAAAAAGACAGAAAAATTGCTTTTAAGATATAAACACTACAAAGTCATTTACAACCATGCACGCGCAAGGGCACGAATACACACACTCACACACACACACACACACACACACACACACACACACACACACACACACACACACACACACACACATACACACACAGACACACACACACACAAACACACACACACACAAAATAGATCCACAATAAAATAGAGTACACAACAGCATTTGTACTAGCTTGTCACAGTTCACTCACAATATGTGCAGAAAGGGATTATAATATAATTTTTAAGTTACCTTCCACAAAACATCCTCATCTTCCTAAGAAATACATTTGCATTGTTTGTTTGAGATAAAAGAAACACAACACAATAACTGCCATTAAGGGCTGGGAAAAGGCAAGCAAATAGACAGGAACATCACAGGGAAAGAAGAAAACTACCAGTGGCTTCTTCAACCATCCCCCCATCCCCCTAAATCTGCAGATTAGAAAGAACAGAATCATTTAAAAGAAGTACAATAAGCAGACCACATATGAACACTAATGTTTTGCTCACCATCCACATCTTTGAGCCCAGTTTTTTGACAAGACTTCCTAAGAGATGTCTCCAGATCTCCATAGTCAATGGGTTCTTCCCTAATTGAGCAAGAAAGGAAGAGGGTAGTTACAAATTTGCAGTGATTGATAACCTACAAGGCCCATTGGCTTGAGGAAATCACAAATTCAAAGTCTAATAAAAGCAACAGGGTGAGCTTGATTTGTTTACCAGCTTCTGACAGTTTTTAAAGAGGTTTTTTTGTGGGTTTTGGATGGATTTGATGTGTTTTTTAAAATTGAGAATTGGAAGGCTATTCAATAATGTAGTTAACAATCATGCAACTGGTTTTCTGACTACAATAACTTGTTCGTGTTAATAACAATCCTACCGTCCTCTACTCTACTGAGTCACAAGGAGGGCAACCCTCTACCCCATCCCTGAGTCACACCTTCATTTTTTTCATAAATCAACAACTACTACTAAATGTAGCCCAAGTCTCTGATATGGTGACATTTACTTAGAAGTATTGTAATTTTTTATCCACATCAAGCCTGCCTCTGTGGTGTACTGGTTAAGCACTTGGCCATCACACACAGGAGACTCAAGTTCAATTTCTGAGTGGAACGGAATTTTTATCAAGTATCTCCATCTTTCTGTCAGGATGTTGTATCCCTCTCAACCCAGGTTTGCCCTGACAGGCAGGGTCGGAAGTCTGCCTACTTAAGGATCAAATTGTATCAATGGGGAAGTAAAAATTAAGACTTATCAGTTCTCCTGAACTCACTTGATGTTGGGGAACAGATCAGAGACAATACCACTGAACAACTTCAGGTCATCCACCAGAAATTTGGGTACGTTCACGTCTCGGATAGCACGAAGTGCGATCAGTTCCTGAAACAGACAGAAAATTTTTAGGAATTTCACCTTCTTTTATATATCTAAATCTGCCATTTTTATCTCTCCTCCTTTTTTTTCTTGAACGTTACTCTCTTGTAACATCTTTAAGCTACGGCACTTATATGACCTAAATGTGTAGTAAGTGTCATAAAGTTCTTACTAAAACAGAATGTTTATGACTTTACTGAAACTTGCATCAAATTTCTCCATTCAAGACAGTCTTTGTGGCAACCTTGATAACCTAACAGATCTCCAACAATATTCACACTACAGCACAGAGAGGCAAAGTAAAAACCAGAACATCTCAAGTCAAATCTAACATTATAAGTATGAACAAATAATAATAATAATAGCAATAATAATAATAGATTGCATTTATATAGCACTCTATCTGTTACAAGTTTACATTATGGGTGCTTTACATCGAAGACATGATCACTGAGCATTATACTTCATTCGCACAATATAAAAACATTTACATCAACATGAAAACCAGTTCAACTACATACAGAAGAACTTTCTCAACCAAACATTAGTTAAAGACACGTAGGGAAAGCAGTGAAAAACAAGACATATCAGCACCTACTAAAACACTACAACTAAGAATTAAACAAATGAGTCTTGAGCAATCGCTGAGAAATCGTTTAAACGTATTAGGATAAGTGAGGCATCATGGTGAAATCAGGCGCTTGTCACAATAATGAAATCGAAGAAACAAGCATTTTTCCTCCAGTTTGGCAATTTTTATTGAATTTCTGTTTTTTAACTCAAGACCTTTTATGTCCATCTAAAACAGATTTCCGAGCGAATTTGACGATAAAACATTGATATAAGGCACAAAATATGTAATTTATCAGTTTTCAAGGACTCTCAAGCTATTGAAGTTACCGAACTTTGGCGGCCATTTTCTCACTCATTTTACCACTGAAACCAGGCGACCCCACCTCCTTCAGTGACAAATATCTCAGCTTCTATTCAAGATAGATGGGTATTTTTTTCATTGAAAGTACAGCAAATGAATAAGCTTTTAGATAATACCAATAACTCCATATGACCAAAAATTGATGAGCGCCTGATTCTACCCCATCGTGACACATATGTAAAAAGTTTTTAAAGTCATTTTTTCATTACAAATGCCACATGCATAGTGATAAGTTAAAATTGTTAATTCTACCAGGACACTAGCACACAAGGATGTGACTGCATAAGCTTATGTTAACAGCTGAGAGCACAGAAAGTAATCTAAAAAGACCTTTATTCATAATCATAGTATAATATTCAAACAACCTCACTATGACAAGGTGTCAAAATTTAACAAAACACTAAAATTAAATGAATATCTTCTTACAAGTTTCCATTAACACAAAGTATTTTCTTTCTCAAAAATATTTCAGTCATGTATTTGATAGGCAGATTGCAAGTGGAAATAAGAATATTACAACAGGATTTTAATGTTAAAAGCTAAAAAGACACACCTCCACCATATCCGGGTACATCCTCTTGAGGTTGCCTGCAGCTGAGATGACAGACTTCACAGCACGCATGCCAAAGTCATAATGGTCCTGCAGAATCAAAGGACAGTTTTAATAAGTGTCAAAGTAAAATACTATAGACATCAAATATGTAAAGGCCTTATGTTTGTTTGTTTAGTATAGGGTTTTACGGCGCTCGCAACTGCATAAGGTCATATGAGCGCGCGGGACACACCTAATACTTTTTCGTTGGTAGGAAATTTTGAATTTTGCCCGGGTGGCGGCCGAAGCCTACTCTTATCGATTTTAGACCACCAAGGGATCTTTAACGTGCGCAACTTGCACACGGGCCCTCCGAGATTTTTCGCCCTTGTCCGAGAAGGCTAGGTGTAGATCTTTCCTACCAGAAGATCAGGGGTGTGGCAGAAAGACAGCAGTTAGGAGCCAAGGAGTAGCAGTAGAAAGGCTGCAGAAAGAGTCAGGAGCCCAGAGGAGGGGGCAAAGGAGGTGAGGGGGTGGGGGCAGAAAGTGGAAATGAAAGCAGACAACAGAACATTGTTAGAGATCAGGAAAGGATGTGAAAGGAGACAATTTTTAGAGCAGAAAATTTTTTTGGTCGCTACCCGGAATCGAACCCTGGACCTTTGAATGAGAGGCCAACACCTTAACCTCTAGGCCACGAGAGCCCCCTGTAAAGGCCTTATCTGAACAAGACATTTCAATAAGTAATCAAAGGGTAAAGCAAAATGGTCAAACTAACAAAATGGAATGACATTGACATGAAATGTAAGTATCAATACATCACACCTACTGGTGAATGAGAAGAGAGAATGAAAAGAAAAAGTGAGAGAAAAAGAGAGAGGGAGTGAGAGCAAAAGAGAGAAGAAGAGAGAGAGAGAAAAAGAGAGACAGAGAGAGAGAGAGAGAGAGAGAGAGAGAGAGAGAGAGAGAGAGAGAGAGAGAGAGAGAGGGGGGGGGTGAGTGAGTTAGGAGAGAAAGAAAGAGAGTGAGAGAGAGTGAGAGGGAGAGAGAGAGAGAGAAAGAGAGAGGCAGGCAGGCAGACAGGCAGGCAGAGAATGAAAGAGCGGAAGAGGAAGGGTCCCATTCTTTGATTAAGTTAAATTTCTTTTTAAAAATCAACAAAACTTCTGTTCCATCTTGTAATGGAATACAAATAAAACAACTGCCAACCAGATTTCTGTTTTATTTTTATCGAATCATTTGACAAATATTCAAAGAGGTGCTACTGCACTGGAACCCAAATACATACGTGACACTGGGTAACTCAGTTTGTGAATTCAAATAATTCACAGAAAAATTAAACAAATAAATTTGAAAGAGGCACACCCCTATGTGACAGAGATATTGTCTCAGAATGTAGAGATGATAGTCATTTTGACTTGAGCTGACTGTCTGAGTAGCTGAGGTGACATCTCTGCAGTGCTAGCTCGAGAGCATGAACATGTCCAGATCAGCTATTGCCTCTACCTGGCGA